GGCTGAATTGCACAAAACGCATGATCGCACCGGCTAGTCTGGTGTGCGCTGCCATTTATTTTTATGTTTTTTTTGTGCTTTTTGTGATTTTTTATGCTTCTTTTGCTACGCAGTGCAGAAAACGCATATTGACGAGGGGTTGTCTGTGTGTGCATCTGTCACTGTTTTTCATCTCAACACCTACAAAAGCTACAGGACTGAAACTTTGGGGACTTAATCTACATGCACGTACGGGCCATGACCCCCAGAATGGGCGCCATTACTCGCGTGGTACCCACGTAAGAGTCCGCCAAAGTTTTTTACGGGTAAGCTGCTAACTCAGGAACCAGAAATGCTTGGGGCTGAAATTTCAAGGGGATGTTCCTCGTCCAAGTAGGTATTAATGAGCTCAAATCCAGCTTTCGGGTAGGCGTGGTACCCGCGTACAGACCCGCCAAAATTCTTTTCAGGTAAGTTCATAACTCGGGGGACTGAGAAGCTAGAATGCTGAAATCTTAGGGGGATTTCCCCCGTTCAACTGGGTATTAAAGAGCTCAAACCCAGCCCACGGGTAAGCTTTGTACCCGCGTAAGGGCTTGCCGAATTTTTTTTTCGGGCAACTTCATAACTCGGGGATCTGAGATGCTAGGAAGCGGAAACTTTAAGATGATGTTTTCCGTTCAAATGGGTATTAAAGAGCTCAAACCCAACCCACGGGAAAGCGTGGTACCCGCTTACAGGCCCGCCAAAATTTTTTTCGGGTATGTTCATAACTCGGGAATCTGAGAAGCTAGAATGCAGAATTACGGGAACGTTCTCTGTCCACGTAAATCTTAATGAGCTTCATACCGGTCTCCGGTTACGCGCGGTAACTACGTACGGGCTCGCCAAATTTTCTTCGGGTAAGTTGATAACTCGAGTATCTGAAAAGCTAAAGGATTGTAATTTTAAGAGGATATTCTCCGTCCACCTAAGTCTCATTCAGCTCAAACCTAGCTCTCAGGTATATGTGGTACCCACGCACGGGCTCACCAAAGTTTTTCTCGGGTAAGTTGCTAAACCGAGAATCTGAAAAGCTAGAAGACTATAGTTTTAGGTGGATTTCCCCCGTCCAAGTAAGTCTCAGCGAGCTCAAACCCAGATATCGAGTGTGCGTGGTACCCACGTGCGGGTCCGTAGGAGTTTTTTTCCAGCAAGTTGCTAACTCAGGAGCCAGGAAGCTAGATTTTGAGGGGGTGTTTCCTGACAGTTCTGGCGGCCAGTCTTAATATATTTAGCTAGAAGCATTTGCCGAAAAAACCGGTGCCGGTAGCGATAAAAACTGGGGAAAACTGTGCAAAAAACGCATCTTCGCACGGGCAGCCCGTGGGTTGGCCAATTTTTTTTTTTTTTTTTTTTTGGGCGCTTTGATTTCTAGACTTGCTTGCTTAGTTCATGCATTGAGCTCCCGCGGCGTCTCATTTAATTCGTGAGTGCTCCTACATCTGGAAGCTTGAGTGGTTTAGGCCCTCGCTGTTGGTGTTCAATCTGGCTTCTCGATCAGCTTGTGAAATACCATCTCAAAAAAGCTTGGGCGATTTGGGACCTTGCTGTCGCTTTGTACTTCTATCAAATTGGCGTAGGTAAAAGATTATGCTTAGCGAGAAGCATTTATCCGTTTCGTTAGTGATTTCTACACCTTCACTTACAAAAGCTTGAAGCAGCTTTTTGCTCGACTGTATTAAGTGCTATTTCATAATCGAGGAATAGGAAATTGATTCGAAATCGGCCTTGCTGCTTTGGTTGCTTTTCATCGAGGAGTCTTTTTAACGGATTAATAATAGACTTCATGAGTAGTTTGCAAAGCAAGCAAATCAAGCTTTTGTTTAAAATATTGTCTTTGTCGCTTCTTTTTTCTTAAGTTTTCTTTGTCTCTCTTTGGCAG